CTTGGCATTAAAATCGCCAAGCACGATTTTGACATCGTGTCGGGGGCAGCGCTCATATGTACGCTCTAAGCGCTCATAGAAGATATCCTTGGACGCCTCGTCCTTCTCTTCCGTCGGGGCATGGGCGCAGATGAGCGAGATGTTAAAGAATCTCGCTTTGATGTGGATCGTGGCTAGACGTTCGTCCACCGGGGTGAACGGCAGTACTTGGCAACGGAGTCTCTCTCCTACCACGAATCTAATAAAAAAAATTTGCTCTCCTTTACGTGGCAACTGTAGTAGACGTCGCAAGGCTTCACGCTTACTTTACCTTGCCCCGTCCATCGCATTTCTTGGATGGCGGTGATGTCAGCCTTTGTCTTCCCGAGGACATCAACCAGCCGGGCAGAGGCACCTTCCCCATTAAGGGTCCTGATATTCCAGGTGCATACCCAGGGATCCAAACCCAGCGCACGCGAAGTTTTACGCCTTCTCACTTTAGCTCGCTCCCAAACGGGTGTTTGGTTGCTACCCATAGGATAAGTGGATATAAATATCCGGACATTGTGAGCTGCGATTTGAACCGTACGCACAAGAATCGCTTCTGGCCACTCCCACGATACCATCCTTTATTTTGCTTCCATCGAAAAACCCACTTATGTAAAAGTGGTCTACTTTTGGTGCTTTTTCGCCCACTTTAACGGATTTCGACACATTTTCTCAATCTTTTATATCCTAATAAAGGAGTAAATACACATCATTTTATGCCTTTAAATCTGCGAAATCATGAAAAAAAAATTATTACACAGCTATCAGCAACAGTCAAGCAATTGCCGTACAACAACCTCGCTTTGTAAAGANAAAAGTGGTCTACTTTTGGTGCTTTTTCGCCCACTTTAACGGATTTCGACGCATTTTCTCAATCTTTTATATCCTAAAAAAGGAGTAAATACACATCATTTTATGCCTTTAAATCTGCGAAATCATGTAAAAAATTATTACACAGCTATCACCAACAGTCAAGCAATTTCCGCACCACAACCTCGCATTGTTAAGTGCTTAAAGTTTCCTTGGCTGGTGGCATATTTTTGTGACAAACCAAGTACGAAAAGGAAGTATAAAGGTAATTGCTTTCTTGAAGATTTCAATGCTTACACAAAAACTTAATTTGGTGCACTTTGCTTGAGACTTAATTCAAGCATAAAAACGCGTCTGTTGCCGCTTTGGCCTAAATGGTCACCGAGGCACTTAAACTGTTGGACAGACACTCTATTTATTTTCGTGACTTAAGTGATATTTAAAAAATTTTTCTTATCCTGTCGGAGTATTTTATTATTATTATGTAAACCATTGCTCACAAGTTTTGCAACTCAAGTCACTTTTAATATAAAACGCGCCTTGGCGTATACGTAACCAACAGACTATTCTAAAAATATTTCCGCTTTACTTTCCTNGGCACTTAAACTGTTGGACAGACACTCTATTTATTTTCGTGACTTAAGTGGTACATATTTAAAAAATTATTATTATCCTGCCGGAGTATTTTTTATTATTATTATGTAAACCATTGCTCACAAGTTTTGCAACTCAAGTCACTTTTAATATAAAGCGCGCCTTGGCGTATACGTAACCAACAGACTAATCTAAAAATATTTCCTCTTTACTTTCCATATTTCTTTACAGTATGGCGTCTTTATGATTATGCTGCTAATTGCTGAAATTGTAGCCTGTGGACTGGGCGCATTTTACAAAGAAAAGGTACATTCTTTTGTTTTAATTATTCAGTAACAGTAATTCCTTCTAATAAAATAATTATTTTTAACTCCACTTAGGCGCGTGCTGAGACAAAGACTTTCCTACAATCCACCATTACCGATTATTACTCCACCAACGATAACATGGATGCCGTTACATTGATGTGGAATCAACTGATGAGTCAAATGAGCTGCTGTGGCGTAAATGACTACCGCGACTTTGACGCCTCACTGTCGTGGCTCAGCAACAAGGGTAATCGTACGCTACCCGATGCCTGTTGCATGCTCAAGGATGTGAGCCAATTACTGCCACGTGACGATGATTGTGTGACAAATCCCAGCGAAAGCAATAGCTTCTACAAGAAGGTTAGTTGAGGTGCACTTGAAATGCGATAAATAATCACAGAATTATTACATATGTACATTAGGGCGTGTCAATTTGTGTGGGAGATTTTTTCGACTACACGCGTATAGCACAGAAGGATTCAACGTATAATTCTAAGCGAATTTGCCAAAGAAACTATGGGTCTAAAATCAATTTTGAGTTTGCTAAATTTCGAAAGTAGGTTTCATTGCATTTTGCTGCAGTGTCGTAAGGAAGTGCTTTAATTCGTAGAAAACATGCTAAAAGGGTATGAGGAATCCATTTTTTCACTTATCTTTTTCTTAAAACTTCCACCAGAGGGCGCAACACTGAAAATTTTCACATTTTCTTCGAAACCTATTTTTGCAATATGGCAAACTCCAAATTGATTTTAGACCCATGGTCTCTTCGAATAATTTGTTTGGAACTACACAAAGAATCCTTCTGCTCTATACGCGCATAGTCAAAAAAAATTGACCCGCCCTAATGTATGTACATAAATTATTCATTTAATATTTGCTACTGCATTCTTTTCTTCCGCAGGGCTGCTATGAAGTGTTCACCGACTGGATCATTTCCCACCGCGAAATAATTATTGGCGTGCTGTTGGGCGTTGGTATTGTACATCTGTTTGCAATCTTTCTGGCCTTCTGCCTGTGCAAGCAATTTGCAAAGTACCATGGAATGCGGCTTTAAGATTTTAATTGCATGAACGGTAAAGTTGGTGATAGACGGACACTGAATGCCCAGCCAACGTTGGCAATTAGTTGAACCAAATACGATTACACGTTGTGGCAAAAAGACTCTGAAGAAAGTTAAAGCCATTTTTATTAAAAAATAAAAAAATTCGTTGATTTTGTTCTTTAATTTTAAAAATTTTGGACAACTTTTTTAGCATTTTTTTGAAACTATGTATGTAGATTAGAGTTTTGTAATGTTTTACAAAAAAATATTTAAAACTATTGTTAAATATATAGGAATAGTTACAAGAATTGCGATATATTTTCGCATGAAACAAAAATTTTGCATTAATAATATACTAGAAACTGAGCATTGATTTTAATTTGGCTAGCTGAATTCTTAGCTCCACAAAAATTAGGATATCTTAGGAATTCGCGAAGCTTAATTAGCCAGAATCTCTCCACTCTATACATCACAAATCAATTTTATGGCATATCGTAAAAGAAATTAATTATTAAGAAATTATTTTACTAAAATAAAACAAAGAAAGAATATTAGCAGTAGGCGAATTCACGAAAATCTAGTTGTGGAAATTTGTTTCTATAATGAATCCCTTAGAATCTACAGACGTAATACTTAAGGTCAATTATATTGCACTAATTACTTCAGTTTTTTCGTGTAAGACCCAAACAAAAAAAAATAAAAGTAAACAAGAAATACCGTAAGTCGCTAAAAAATTCTAAAAAGTCCCGAAATATTCCGATTTGTCGCAAAAATGATCAAAAAAAAAATTCTATGCAAGTAAAAATTTCGCAAATTTTTAAAAATTACGATAAAACTGCGAAAGCTCTCGAAAAAAAATTCCGAAAATAAAAAATTTCTACAGCTTTTACCAGTGGCTAAAAAATTATAGCAAAAACTGTTTCGAATTTCGAAAACAAATAATACCAGGCACAGTTTTTTATTTTTTTTTTTAAATAGCAAAAATTCAAATTTTTTAGGTCACTACATCTTTTCGGTTTCGAAATAAAAAAATAACCACTTTTATTTGCAGTCTCTGCTCAAAATGAATTTTCCATTTTACTTATTAACCTAAGAAAAAAAGCATACATTGTGAATGTTGTCATTGAAACACATACCTGCATATGGACATATCTCCAGAACCGGGCGATTTTGTGTTAGTCACCTTTAAATTTATTTTATTAATAACAATAATATTTCGGCACTCATACTTTTGCTCAGTATTTGGTCCTAAAATGTTGGGACCTAAAGTCTTACGCCGCCTCTGAATAGCAAATGGATTTTATAAGAAGCTTTTTCAAGGCAGAAATTGACGGCTGAGGGGAAGATCGACCTATCGTGGCAGCCAGTTCGAAAACTCCCTGTCGCAGAAAATGGCGTCATAGTTCAGAATTTGACTGAAAAACGCCCTATCTCAGAATTTGGTTGGCACTACGGTGCCACACGAGTTGAAAGGAAAATTGCTAGCAAGTCGATGGTCAAGTTGATAGTCAAGTTAAACAGCTGATCAAATTTAGTCTGTTCCACTACTCCAGAATTCAATATGAGTGTACGGGAACGTATGAGTTGCCACACGTAAGGGTTGTCTTTATTTTTTTTTCATATTTTATTTAACACATAATTTTTTGCTAACAAAAGCTCACGTCCCAAAACTATGACCGATCAGCTGTTGAAATTTAATGAAAAATTGTATTTTGTCTTAAAAGAAAAATCGCTTCCAAGGTGATAGGCAATTTGCAAGACTGTTTCAGTGATTCAGAATTAATTATGAATGAAAATTAACCACAATTTTTAAAGTCGAAAGAAAATTGTTTCACATTTTTATTTCAAAAACGAAACCAAAACTAAATTTGAAGAACGAAACCAAAACCGAAACACTTCGCAAAACCGAAACCGACTCGATTGTTTAAAATTGCCAAAATTGCACGATTTATTAAAAAAAAAAAATACAAATAAAATAAAACTAGTAACTAACTACTTGAAGGTAATCGTCTACGTATTTTCTGGCATATTTCTCTCTTTTGTTGCTTATAGTTGATTTCCACCAAACCTTAACTGCAGTTTATGCCTATAGGTAAAAGGAGATTACAACTCGAAGATAGTAATTCTACCTAGTTATTAAGTTAAGCCTTTGGTGGAAATAGGCTATTACTCTCAGAAATTCTTTTACTGGCAAGTTACTGGATATTTTTTTTACTGGGGAGTATACAGAGACTGAGCTATTATTGTTGAGTATGTTCAAAACAACTTTGAAATAAAACGTATAATGTGCAAATAGAAAACTTTGAAAGAAGTCAGTTGTAAAGTAGTACGTGCTAGCTTCAGCAACATTTTTAGAATATTTTCTAGAATTTTTTTTATTCATAAGACCCATTGTTTGAATTTTTTTTTGCGGTGGTCCCACACTAATTAACGGCACTTCTAAATTGATTGAATTGATGTCGGTTGTTTTTTTCTTTGCTTAAAAATTTCAGCATTCAATATAAATGAATCACACAAGAATTTATTGTGTTCCACATGGATTTTAAACAATTCAATGTATTTTTGGTGTGATCAATTAAAAAATTTTCAAAATCATAGCTTTGAATCGTCCGGTTCTGAAGAATTGCCCATATGTACATACTCGTATCTAGACGTTAATGTGTATAGTTCAATTATGCAACTTTAGCATTTGTATAAGTGAAACAAATTTTTCGTAGATGTTTTTTGAAGTTTTTATTTTAATTTAAGGTATTTACTTATTAATTTGTTATGGATGTTGTATATTTTATAGAGACTATATATAAATATAAATACACACATACATACATTTGTATATTACTCATATCATTTGTGGGAAATGTAGTTGAATACACATACTTATGTACGAAAGTTAAAACTACATATGCGCATATGTATGTTTGTATGTTTAAGTGTAACCAATATACATACATATGTACATACATACATACAAACCTTAGAACCTAGACACATACTTATGTACTTTCTTTTTAGACTAAGTTTTGTAAATCTACACGTAGCTTTCTTGAAGTTGTATAAAAAGTGAATTATTGTAAAGAATAAATAACAATAATTATAATAAAAAAAACTACAATTCAACTTTTTATTATTTAGTTGATAAGCGGTGAGTATGATAAGTGTTCCGTATATTTCGCGATGATAAATTTTTATCTACTCTCATAATTAGAAGCAAAGCATTTTACGACAGACGCCAAAGGCGGAAGTACATACATAAAAGTAATTAATTAACATACAGTAAAGTCTACCAATTTATTAACAGGATAAGCCAGTGTTTGTTTTTAACATTTTTTACAACTGAATACGCGTGGATATAAATATGTACATACGTGTTTCATTTCACCTGATCTCGCCAAACTTTACTTTTGAAATCCGAATCTATCAGATACGAGAATTGTATGAGCAGTGATGTCGTCCGTGAAAGTTGAAAAACAATAAGTGAAAAGTGTATAGAATTTTAAAAAGTAGCTAGAAAATCAAATTTTGCTGTATTGCTAATGAAGGCTCTACTATTGTATAACTTGTATTGGAAGACTTTGCGGCTATGCGTGAGTGACTCCTGACGGTGGAAAACACAAAAAAAAAAATAAAGCAAGTGTCATGGCTTGAAATTTTTAAATTTTGTCTATAAACTTTTTCCTAGATGTGCATAATAAGATGCAAATATATATCCACAAGAAGCTAGTTTTTAATCCTCAATATGGTAAAATATTTTGTAATGCAATTTCTCAATATTTTTCTAACAAAACGTTCATAGAAAAATATTTCAATTTTGAAAATAATATCGCGAATTTTAGAAAAACACGCCGCTATGGTGTAGTGGTAAGCAGTGCGCGCTTCCACTCCGCAGCGCCTGGGTTCAAGCCCTGATAAAAGCAACATCACAAAATAATTTAGGAAAAAGGGTTTTTCTTAACAGCGGTCGCCCCTCGTCAAGCAATGGCAAACCTCCGAATGTATTTCTGAAATCAAAAACAACTTCTCATAAAAATACAATCGCCGTTCGGAGTCGGCGGAAAACTGTAGGTCCCTCCACTTTGTGTGACAACATCGAGTCGCACGCCACAAACAAGTCGGAGGAGCAGCTCGGCCAAATAATAACATATGTGTAAGCGCCAATCTATTATTATTGTTATTATTAGAAAACACAGCTAGCAAAATGAGTGAAAGTATAATTAAGGCCGCTTTAGTCAGTGGTTAGAAGTGCCTACTATCACTCCGTAGTGCCTGGGTGTGATTCCTGGTCCGGACAAAATCTAAATTAGAAAAAGTTTGTCAATGCTAGTGAGTAAGGTTTCAAGAAGAACCGGGAATTTGGAGCGGTTCCGTTTCTCAAAAATCAGCTTCTATCGAAATACATACATACATACATATGGGGCGATTCATTTCAAATGTCCCATGCGCGCTGAGCGGTGCAAAACAAGATACTTTTCGCGTAGCTGGGAAGTAGACATCAAATGGTAAAAAAAAAAAATCAAAAACTATTATTTGTACGGGCTTTCCGATGGTTCTTTGCGTTTTCCAAAAATTTTCCATTTTCACAGTAAAAACTCGAAACGAAAATTTTATTATAATTTTTCTCAATGATGGTAATTTTTAATATTGTTTTAAGTTATCTCAATCAAAATATCAAGTATTTTATCATAAAAATCATTAATAAAATCACTTCGAAAGGGAATTATTTTTGTTTTTCCGGCTTATAAAACATTCGGCTCCATTCGCTTGCACGAACTAAATCATCATTACGAAATTGTCATTTAACTCGCTACATCTCAGACGTTTGTGTATCGATCGATTTGAAATTAAAAGCCAATAAATTACAAACTATTCCAAAGAATTTAAGTTTTACAACACTTCTTAATACTAATTACAACCACAACTAAAGGTTTTCAAACTGTATAATGAGCATTGAGATTGTGTTTTTTTTTTCAAAAGGTAAAAGTTATTTTATAAAGTTTGAAAAAAAAATTATTTTAATACAGTATCGTAGACGAATATCTGGGGAAGTTTTTGCGAAAGTTTCAGATTCAAACATCAATAGTTCAAAAGTTATAGCAAAAGACCTGGTCTGGCGATTGAGATGATTAAAAACGTTATTAAAAATGGCCATAATTGAGAAAAATTACA